CGTGATGCAATTCTGCTTTTGGTTCGAGGTCACGACTATCTGGTCTCATGTGTATGATGCTGTTTGATTGCTGAAGTTCGCTATTGCTCATCTTCATTGCATATGTTTTTGATTTTTTTTAAATAAAGTCAAAGCTCAAAAAATGAAAGTAAAAATATGAGGTTGTAGTCTTGTAGACCTCAAAAAGATCTACATCCCCATATTTTGTGTTTTTATTTTTGATAATATTTAGCCCGCGAAAAAAAATTATCGCGGGTCCCGGTGAAACCCGTTGTTTCGGCTTTCAAACGCCAAATCAACGGAATTCAACGGCTGTTGAATCATTCAACGCGGAACCCGCGTTGAATCCAATTTCGGACACACAGATCGACTGCGACAAAATGGCTAGAGTACATGCCCCACTTTGGCACTTGAGTAGGCAGGACTTTGAGTAGACTGTATTGTGTTGTGTTGTGTGGTGTGGTGTGGGTGGGTGGTATCTCTCTTTCTGATCGCTCCACCTGTCTGGCTTGCTGGGCCTTCTCACTTTTTTTCTTTTTTTCCCGGTCCCTTCCACCACTGCGGCACCACGAAATTTTATGCCTGGTGTTGTTGGTATAGTAAGGGGGTATACACACTGGCCGCTGGATGTGGGCGGTCGGCTTACCAGGTGGCCACTGGACAAGCCTGTGGCAGAGTGCAAAAGAGTTAACGACTTTTTATGTTCATAATGTTGATGAAAACAAATCTGAAAAAGTCAGGGTTGTAGGTTGAGTGTTGATCTTTCAGGGAAAAGTATTACAAAAAACTGTCATAATCACAGACGCGAGCTTGAATCCAGACGGAACCAGATGAACGAACTGCCTGAATTACCTAGGGCCGGTCAGTTTCACGATGATATCTCAGGTCTGTCACCTCTTAGAAAGAAAAAAAAAGAAAAGACAATTCTGGATGGCAAAAGAACTGCTGAGCAGCAAAAATACTTTAGCCCTTAAAAAATAATAATAATAAAAAAATTGCCCTTGTTGTCGGGAAAAACTAATACGTTCGCTAGAGTAGCTCCAGGTAGCAGGGATGGTTTAACATCTAACGTTCTCTAAACTTTGCTTCAGAAACCGCCACCGTACACCTGAATTCTTTTTGCCCAGGAATTAATTTGTTCATGGTCGTAATTATAGCTCAGAGCTAATCAATCCAAAAACAAAAATATTTTGTTGGTTTACAGATACTGAAGATATGGTTGATCAATGGTCATAAATTTGTTGGAGAATTCCCTTTTGCACAAAAAACTTGAAGGGGGGGGGGGGGGAGGGGGAGGGAACAAAACAAAAAAGAAAGGAAAAAAACAAAAACAGTTGAAAGTTTTTCTGAAACAAACAGAAAATGGCACAAGAAGTCAATCCCAGTCAGACACTCAGGGCATACTGATACATGCCCAGTTGGGCAATGTATATGGAGCCAACGATCTGCAAAGTGATGAAAAGGACTCGAGTGGACAATGCAGTGTCAGTAAGGCATCAACAAGCTATGTACATCCAGATACATATGAAAACAGCATAATGTAGCGCAACAGAAGACTCAAAGATATGACCTGACCTGTCAGATATTGACGTGACATCCCATCATACACCACACATGTGAGAGAGGGAGGAGGGACCGCATACATGGAAGAAAGGTCCCTCCTTGCACACGCACATTGGGAAGGTATCACGGATGAGGGATGGGGGGAGAGGCGAGACGAAGATGGAGGTGAGGGAGAAGACGAAGATCGTGATAGCGAAGTCCAAAACTAGTCTCCCTGCCGAATGTCCAATCAATGTCTGCCTCAAAAATGTCGAATCAGATCCTGGGCATCATGCCCGATGTAAACTCTGCCTGTGACCTCTCTCTCTCTCTCTCTCTGAAAAAAAAAACACGAAGGAGGAGGAAGGAGGGAAAAGAGATGGAGGGCGAGACGAAGAAGAAGAAGAAGAAGATGTCGTCCTCCTCGCTGTCTCACCTGCAGGTAACTGCGGCCATGTACTAATTGCCGTCGTGGTCCCTGTGCAGGTCGCCGGTGTGGAGCGTGTCTATGGCGCCCAGGTAAGTACCGTCGATGCAGGTATGGCCTCTGCCTGTTACATGCCCAGTTGGGCGATGTACATATAAACCGAGGATCCGCAATGTGATAAAAGGGACTGAATGGACAATGCAGTGCAAGTGGAATCTCAACAAGCAATGTGCATTCCGATACATACAAAATGGTGTTTTATAGCGCAGTGGAAGATTTAGATACAAGTCCTGACCTGACCGGGACTGACCTCTTTCACGTAGTACCAGGTAGCGAAGCAGAATGCTAGAATACTAAGGACTAGCGCACTCAATGTTTCAACGCAGACCAAACATACATCATATGCCAGACGAAGAGGAGGGGATCAGACGAAGAAGAGGAAGGGGGAGGGAGATGGGAAAGTCGTCAACACCAAGTCTCGTTACAAGTCCCAAATAATCCCTCTTCAAAATGTCCGAAGTCCAATGTCGAGTCTGGATCCAAATGTCACAAAGCTCTCTCTCTCTCTCTCTCTCTCTCTCTCTCTCTCTCTCTCTCTCTCTCTCTCTCT